ACACTTTGTCACACACAAACAATGAAAAGGCTGAAACGTTTAAAGAACACACATTCAGGACACACCATGAACCTGACATGAATACACACTTTTTTAATGAGGTGAACAACTACGTAACACACACACACAAATCTGTACACACCACAATTTCCTGCTAACGTACAAATTAACCAAACAAATAACAACACAAAGGAAAATTATGTAACACATCAGACGACAAGAAACACAACGGAAATAGAAATTAAACAGGCAATTAAAGCAACAAAAACAAAGATCCAAGAGAAGATTGGATTCAAGCTATCCTCCTCAAGAAAGGCACTCAGAGAAATAGAAAATGTATAATAAATGTATGGAAACGTTCTCGGAATCATTTACTCCAGAGGCAGGTGTCCCTCAAGGAGGGGTAGTTAGCTCTATCTCATTCATCATGTATGTAAGCAATATGACCCTTAAGGATCCAAACCTAGGCTTCTCTTCACAATTCGATAAAGATTTTGCAGTCTGGAAAAGTGATCTTATTTCCTCAGTATCAGCAACAAATTTATAACTTCAGCCAAATAATATAGTGGAATATTGCCAAAAATACCGTATAAAAATAAATGTCCCCAAAAATCAGTTGGTAGTATTCACAAAACTAAAAAAGGACCCGCCCAAACTATATGCCAATGGTACACTTCTCTATTCCACAACATAAGCCAAATTCCTAGGATTAATCTACGATTCTAAATGAACGTGGGTTAAACACATAAATAATATTCTAACCAAAGTTTGGCAACGTACGAATTATGCCATGAGTCTAACGGGCAAAAAAACTGACCTTCAGCTGACAACATAATTAAAATCTACAAAACATACATAAGCCCAATAATTGAATACGAATGCCCAGTATGGATAAACATAGTACCAAAATACACCAGTAAACTACAAACAATAAAAAATTCATTACTCACTATTGCATACATAGCACCCAGATAAACTCCATCAAAATTTATGCACAATTATGCAAATATACAAACTATCTCCGATAAACTCCTACATAATCGTTAAATTATTTCGCGTAAAATTGGCACATAAATTACCTTCTGTGTGAATTAGATCGCTACTGCATACATGATGGGGATAGCCATAAGTACCTCTCGCCAGTTAATATATATACGTTAAGAATAAGCATTTTATAAGGCCACCTAACACTAACTAAGAAACCAACATTAGTTTTAAGTTGATAAGACAGCATTGAAAGGGTATTTATATAAATGCTCTCGATTAATGGAAAATTAATGCATGTGAAAAATACATGTGGAACTGTTCTCCATGTGCAGGACTTTGCAACACAAAATAAAGATATATTGTATTTATTCACACGAATATAAATGTAAGTACCTACATGGACATTGCTCTAGAAGGGATCAGGGTAAACGTAGTGTTTAAATTCGTATTCACCTGAAACAGCTACCATCTACTAGGAGGGAGGAAGAAGTCATTTTCCCATTAACATTTTTCTCTTGTAAAAATTTCGACTTTCAATGGATTAAATTGAAACTTAGTGAATTACATATAACGAAATAAACAGAATTAAAACAAAAGTGTTTTTAAGCATTCTTATATATGAAAGCTTAAATAACATTTATATAATTAGTGAGATTTTGTTTATCTACATAATAACACCCGAGTCTTTCTAGTTTTAATTGAATTGAACTGATGAGTATGTTGCAAATTCAAATGTTTTAGTGTTTTTCAGTATTACAAAAATAAAGATAAGTAAATAATTGGGAATTTAAAAACCTGCAAATAGGAATCTTAAACAAAGGAAAGAAACAAGGCTGGAGATACTGTAAACATTATTTACTCAAACTAAAAGCCCGATTTTGTTACCTAAAATTACATTTGGTGGAGTCAAAATAGAAATTTGTGGTTTGAGTAAATAATTTCTACAGTATCTCCATCATTGTATTCTTAGTTTTTTTACAATCCCTATTTACAGGTTTTTAAGTTCCCACTTTTTTATTTGTCAGGTTTGCTGACTTTTTATGCTCTACTGTTGGTAAAGGATTACTTGATACGGTAACTAACTTTACACATTGTAATGATAACAAACATATCTAGTAGCTAGCTGACACGGTTCATGATGATTTACTGTAGCTATTGACTATTTGATCGCATTAGTTCGAGATGTAGAATGTTAAGCTGCAGCTGGAGGTTGTCATGGAAATTTTTTTGAAAAGAGTGAGCATTTATAGTTTCCATGTAACTAAATTCTCTATATATAATGCATAACAATGGGAAAATGTATGTCTAGATGAAGAAAAAACCTACTAATTGCGTATAAAACTTTATCAGTAGCAGTCTTTTCAAATAAAATATGTACGCCTAAAACATTGCTTTAACTAAACCTTCGTGTCTTTTAAAGTAATTATTCTACAAGCCCTACAACTAAAACGGCTTGATATATTGCACCCAAACCTTTCATAGAATACTAAATAAGGTACCGCGAAGGTCGTAGAGGTATTGAAAAATTGATTTGTTTCTTCTGTATTTTGCATAAGCTGAAAAACAACATAAGTCTAGTGTAAACGATGTTATCATTACCCCTTGAACTTAGCTTTCTTACAAATACCTGGTGCTCCTTTAATTAAAAAACTTTTGTACAGAGTGAAAGAGGAATTATCAGCCAATAATTGATGAACATGAGATGACTGTAACATGTAGATATTCAATGCTTTGTACACTATACAATCGGTATCTCTAGGGAGCCAACCCCCTATATTATGAATGAAGTGAAGGAGTGAAAACAATTACTACACATAATATTAAATTTTTTCACACATCCTTGTAAGCCTAACATGCATGCTTTTTTGTACATTTTTATATATGTGTGTAGAGTCTTAGCAGTTAATAGTAAAGGTTTTAAAGTGTTGTTTGAACTGAATCTTTACTGTTTAAGGTGCATTTTTGCCCGAACGTTCTATTGGGGTTTTGTGCAATTCTTTGCGATCCCTATAATGAACCACTATCGTGGTTCATAATACTGTGACATAATCATTACAAGTATAAATTATTTAGCTAAAGGTCCATAAAAAATAATTTTTTTGGCTTGTCTAGCATTTTTTAAGTTTATAACATTGATTTATTTGCATTTTAATATATGACTTTGGTAAAAAGTAATTGGTTTGACCATAGTTAAAATACGATGGATAAAACACAACATAAATTACAATTCAAGAATTCCTAAAACTCGAGTGCAATGTATTTTAAATTTAAGTGTATAACGTTGATAATTTCGATTATTTTCATACAATCTTTAGTAAGAATATTATGAAAATTGATTTTATACATTAAAATAACAGCTACAGATTATGCATAACTTCCTTTATCCTTGCCTTACCTAATCTAACACAAATTTAAGCCTTTCACAGTTATAATTTTTTTATTCAACTTTAACGTAAGTTATGCTGAGCCAACTGGTTTTCACAGTTTAGTCTTTGACTTATAAATCGCATAATTAGCATAGTCAGTACAAAATATAAATAACTAGACGTATATACTTCATCACGAGACTTAGCATTTATTATATCTTTTATTTCTATCTTTTCGTTAATTTTATGTTTATCCGACTAGTAACGCTTTAGAAGTAATGATGCAATAGCTTTTTCAAGAAGAACTGCTAAACATCTACAATACTAGATGCAATTACTAACAAGTAGTCTTAATTATGGGTGACAGACAAACTACAAAAACTTCTATGGCCACTTTCCTTTAGGTCTTATGAACATCTGACGAGGCTGGGCCGCTTAATTATCATTGGTAAAGCTTAATATACTATGCCTTTTGGAATTGTGTCAATGTAGTAATTAATACTTAAGAAATTTAAAGTTATATGTTAAATCTATCTAATAATGTAAATAGCGAAAACACATTGAATTAATTAAATTTAATACAGAAAATTAATATAAATTCAGAAATATATAAACTGTCTAATTTAGTACGTGGTAAATTACCACTAGATATCAACAAAATCCATCACTCAACTTTTGTGTGTAGAACTTCTCGGAGATTTGGTCTAAGCCTACGTCTTAAATACACTATACTGTACGAAGGTGGCCTTGTTAAACTAAGTCTATCCAAATAGCCAGACTTAAAAGTGGGCTAGTGAAAAGAACAAATAGAAGGTGACCAGTCGTAACAGTTAAAGGTAATTTAATAAAAGGGGCTTTACGTTTTAAGACTTCAAGTATTATAAGCAAACTATTCAGCATATAATCGTCACCCTCCAAAAGAAAATATTAGATTTATTAACATTAGTTTCAAATGTAATTGCAGAGACATTTTGGAATATAGTAAATATCCACTAACTTAACTTTCGGCCAGTATACGTGTGCTAAATCCAGTTTAATAATTACCTTGTGCCATCTTGAAAATGTTGATTTGTAACTAATGAAGGACTGGAAATGGTTCACACTCCGTTGCCACAAAACTCTATTTGCACTTTGGGGCTCGTTTCAGTCGTAAGACTGATGGTTAAATTCCATTATTCAGTAGGACAAGAGTAGCTCAAGGGTTGGAGGAGGTGTGCTTTCCCTCGAAACTAATATTTGTTCAAAATTTAAGCAGACCTGGAGAGGCCTAATTGTTAACATGCCGGACTATCAATCTGGAAATCCATGGCTCATGTCCCGTTGCCATAAAAAAACGCCATGGTTGTATTAAAAGAGTGACAGTCAAGTTAGCAATATATTCTTCTGACTAGCTGCCTTCCTCCTTAGTTTATCAGCTAAAAAGTAGGAACGTTAACCTATATATAGCTTTGCGCGAAATTTTTGAATCAAACAAACTAACTTAATAATAATACAGTGAAATGCTTGCATTTAGTGGGCTACCCAAGGAACGTAAAAGAAGAAATGTATCTTTCAAAAAACTTGTTTCACAACTACAAAAGAGACTACTAAATGTATCTGTATTTCTTTTTATTAACTTTATGCAAAATTTATTTTAACTTGTTTACTTTATGATATCGTAATCAAAATATCTTAATAATAAAATTTTTCATATGGACGAAATTAAATTTTGATTAAATTAAAATTTGCAAGGGTACAACTTAAATTTGATAGATTCTTGTTTTAAAACAAATTTTCCCAAAGTTTAGGTATGTCAGTGTCTTTGGTTTTCGCGTCAAACTTTTCTATCAGTCGCTTTGACTGGTCAGGAGAGAAATAATTTTTCCAATCACCAGTGGACCCTTTTCGTACAAATTCAACCTCAAAAGGCATATTCAAATTATGTTTTTCGTAATATTCTCTTACATGTTTTAGTCCTTCTGGCATTTCTTGGCCGTGGCATGTATCTTTATTACCGCTTGTGTAGAAATGCTTCATTTCTTTGTTAAAACGCTTCATATAACTTACACTTGTCTGATCAAGGATTTTCAACATCAACTTATCATCATTCTCCAACATCTCTGCATACTGTGGACCCAGAAACCTAGCAATCTTCAGAATAGCAGCTCTTGTGTCGTTTTTCATTTCTTCGTATGTTAGAAGACAGACGTTGGGGTCGTTCCTGTGTTCGTACCAGGAAATAAGATGGTCAAAGTAATCGCCCCAGTCAGTTTCACCATCAATGAATATCTCGAAGAAGTCGTCGAAATTCCCATTCTCGAAATGGTATTCTGGAAGCATTTTCGTGTGGTGATAATAAGACACGCAACAGTCTCTAGGATTTCTAGCTATGTATATGTATTTGGCACTAGGTGAATAAGGACACAGATTAAATGGCAGATGTGTTTTGATGGATCCAGGACGGGGCATGACTTCTGCAATTTTAGGCCCTGACATCTCCAAAAAAGGAGAACGTACTTTGATTTCCTCGTAACTCCTGAACGTTTCACCTTTGTTAAGAATATTGTGGACAATATGCTGTGCCCAAGTGGTTCCACATTTCGGAAAAGTCACGATAAATATGTCATCATCTCGTGGTTTATATTGAATAGCACCTCGTAAGCATTTAGAGGAAACACTAGCGTTCATGATAAGTCCGTCGATAACTTGATACTTTGGCTTGTTCTTGACCTCGGCCATTCCTTTGTGATGATGGAATCTAAACGTAAGAATTTTATTTACAATTATTATATTTATAACTCTTAATGGTTTCATAAATATAAAAGAATATATACGTAAAAATATTATGGGTGTGAGTGTTTGCAGTTAGAGAAATAACGAATTAAAACGATGTCATTATACTGTGAAAACATGGACTAATTATAAACTTGTTCGCTGATGTAACTATATTCATCAAAGCACTGTAAGTTCGAAATAATATTCGATGTAATTTGTAGTGATGTTTTAATGTTAGTTACGAATTATTCACTCCGAAAGGTCTAGTCACTAAAACTGATTTCAACGATAACATCGAAAGCAATAAATAGAGCGAAACTTTGTCAGTGCTTTGTCCGTTTACAGCATTGTTTGTGTATTATAAAATTCATGACTGTAATATAATCTGTCATTGATATTTATAAAACATTGAGTTCTATACTGAGTAATAATTTTGTATTTTTGACCAATATAATTTTTTGACTCGCGAAAATAACGTTACATACAAACATATTTAATAACGTCTTCTATTAGTCCAAGTAAGAAAATGTTTAGCGTCCGGAGTTTTCGAAAAAAAAAGGAAGGTTTGTTTGTTTGTTTTTGAATTTCGCGCAAAGCTACACGAGGGCTATCTGCGCTAGCCGTCCCTAATTTAGCAGTGTAAGACTAGAGAGAATGGCGGGTTCGAATCCGCATACCACCAAACATGCTCACCCTTTCAGCCGTGGGAGCGTTATAATGTGACGGTCAATCCCACTATTCGTTGGTAAAAGAGTAGCCCAAGAGTTGGCGGTGGGTGGTGATGACTAGCTGTTCCTTTTTAGTGCCCGGCATGGCCAGGTGGATAAGGCGCTCGACTCACAATCTGAGGGTCGGAAGAGGTATTATTTCTTTCATTCTCTTATTTTTAATTTAGCTCATAGCTCCGTCAACTCTTGACCGATTTGAGATCTAATTACAATTTTGGACTCATGAGGTCAAACCCTTTCAATTGATGTATTTAACAGCGCCCAAGGTCTCGCAGATTAATTTACTCTAATCCTGCCTAAAATAATTTCAATTTGAGGGTAGGTTGTAAGAGATCCCGATGGGTAATAAAATCGAATTGGGTATACGCGCGTCACACGTTTGGTATTGCTGGCGCACAAAAATGTAGCTAATAAAAAAGAACAAAGTCTCTTAGATTAATTTACTCTAATCCTGCTTTTAAGATAACTTCAAGTGCCGCGGCTATTGAGGATTGCCTCTTGTTTCACCAAAACGATACAGAATTTATCACAAATAATGAAAAAGTGCAAAATGTATCAACTGCGATAATTCAAAAAAGGGGGAAAAATAGCCAAAAAAAGTGAGGAGGGGGGGGGACTAGTGCAAAAAAAAAAAAGGAAGCGGGCGGGGACACTAAACGTATTTTTCTCTTTCCTTTTTATTTGCCTTAGGTGATATATTATGCAAAAGATAAGTAATGAAATATTATATGTCTAATTACAAAAGTAAATTTATTAAATTTTGGTTCCAATAACAATCATGTGTTATATTTGTATATGGCTTGGAATACCTATTGGTTTTCTCTCGAGGTGACAGTATATTCGAAACTAAATTAAAACTAAACCATCAAACTTTGGCATCTTTTCAAGAAATGTACTCGTGTAAGATGTCGGGAAACAGATGAAGACTGTATTTGAAACACCTACGCAAGAAACCAGCTGCCACTGAAGGATCGACTGCGAGGTTTGTATTCGAGAAATCAGCTGCCACTGAAGGCTCGAGTGTGAGGTTAGTATTAGAAATTAATAAACAACAACACATTTTTATATACGAGCAGAAATATTTATTATTATTATTACAAAAGAATCTCTCCATAAACTTCCCTGTGTAACGAATTTATTATTATGTATTTATTTTAATATCAATGTTTGTTTCGAACAAGTTTATATTCGAGGGCGTGTCTAACTTACAGTGTTAGTTACGTATGGCGAAATTCCCGCCAATTCTCCAAGGTTGTAGAATATTCGTGAACACAAGAATGAACAATATATCCACTTCCATAACCGGTTAAATATAGTTTAGTATTGTCCAAACGTTCGAGAAAAACACTACCCGCTCGTATAAAAAGACCAAGGCCAAAGAAGAAACAGATACAAGTCTGCTAGGAAACTGTTATAACCGTGTGTACGCTATAAACCGTGATTTTGCTAAACCTTACCAACCGGAAAATATACGACATTTGACCAGGAACAGCTATAAATTTCAAACGTCAGTGAATTCTCATCAAACATTAGGATCTTTCCAAAAATATTACTGGTTTCTCATCAGACATTGGTGGTTTTATGAAAATATTTTCTTACTCCAACGGTCCAACAATTCAATGCCTGACAAAGCTAGCTAGCTTCCCGACAATTGTACATACATCGACTTTAAGTTAACTCGCTGGATATCAAGGATACTCTGAGATAGGAAGAGTGTTTTAGGTTATTTGTAAGTTAATGAAATTTCTCTTTATAAAACTTTGTTATAATTAATCGTAATAGTTGCTATTGTGAATTGTACTGTTGTATATGTATGTATTAAAACGTATGTGTCAAAAACAAAAATGGTGTGAATCAGTCTTGTTGGCAAATAGTGTAAATTAAATGAAATATTGGCATATTTCTAAACACTAAATCCAGGGTACAATTCAACTATTAAAAGTTAAATTATTTAACACTGCTTCGAATTATTTCAAATTATCAATACGTAACACCTGTCAGATTATGTATAATGATTTGAATACTTTTATTACATTCTGGTACATTGATGTTACACTCCCCTCTTAATATCATTTTTTTCTTACTTCATTAGTGTGCCTTACATTTTCAAACGTGGTTATAATGAGATTGTACAGCAGAATAAGTTCCTCATGCTCCAGGACCTTGTAATGCCTACATTCGTGCATGGGTATTGGATATCATCCCTCCGTGGTGTTCTTTAATTGCAACTCGTATATTTCTGAATTTGCATTTGATTTCTGCAAATCATTTTGGTAACTTCAAGTTAACCGATTTTAATTGATATATTTTCCATTGCTGATGTTGGTTTTCTTTTGGCACCACTTAGTTCTGGTGACATCTCAGTAGCCATTTTTTTCCTACTTTATCCACATATTTCAGGTTGATATTATGTTGGATACTTTTCATTAATTTAAATTTTACAGGGCCAAATTTTCTGAGAGCTTCGACGACTGTTTCAAAATGTTTTTTAGTGGTTAGAAAACTTGCTTTATAATGCTTTACATCGTTTTATTTTGAACACCGACAGAGTTGTTTACTGCAATTAGTGAAACTACTTTTTCGTTAGTTATTTCCATCTTGGAACAAATTGTATTATCTTTTCCAACTTTTTCGCAAGTGTCATCTGACATTGTAATGTATCTTTTAAACTATCTTTTGATTTGTTTTTTTCTTGTGTGGTTTTTGCTTAATTCCTTTTTTCTTGTAGGGGTAGGTGTTTCAATTACAAACTATTCCGCCAGGTAGATGTAGTACTTTTTTTTGGTCTTTTATGTGACAAAGATCGACACTGTTTAAAGACTTTTTGTAAATATAGTACACCTTACTTAACAACTTTACATTTGTTCTTGGTTAAAAGCTGTGAATCAAGTTTGATTACAGCTTCATGTATGTTTGTTCTTGGTTAAAAGCTGTGAATCAAGTTTGATTACAGCTTCATGTACGTTCTTTGATTTC